CTTTCAAAAGGGCACTTTTTTGGACTGAGGGCAAAAGGGCAAGTGCTTCAGCACCACCTCGTCTCTATCTGTGCACGCCAGTGGTCCCTTGAGGGAACTTCTGATGTGATTTGGTACTATAAATACATACTAAATTAATAAACAAACCTGAAATGGCTTACGGACTCCAAAAAGAGATTCTAGCAAAACGTCAGGCGACTCTGGATGTTGTACGGCGGTCTTGGTTGACACGCCTCTATAATGTTGTGTGGAGATCAGGGGCATTACCTCTAGATTAGCAAATCGGGGTGGTGGTTCCCATCTTCAAGAAGAGAGAACGGAGTGTGTGCTCCAACTATAGGGGGGTCTTCATCCCCCTATAGTTCCTCAGCATCCCCAGGAAAGTCTATACCAGGGTGCTGGGATGGAGAGTCCATCCGTTAGTCGAGCCTCAGATACAGGAACAATGAGGTTTCCGTCCCAGTTGTTGAACACTGGACCAGCTCTCAAGGATACTTGATGGGTCATGGGAGTTTGCCCAGCCAGCCTACATCTGTTTTATGGACTTGGAGAAGGCATTCGACTGTGTCCCTCGGAGTGTCCTGTGGGAGGTGCTTCAGAAGTATGGGGTGTCTGGCCCATTGCTACGACACATTCGATCCTTATACAACCGTTGCCATAGCTTGGCTCGCATAGCCTAGCATAAGCCAGACTTGTTCCCGAATGGTGTTGGACTCTCAGACACAACATTAAAACTGCCTCCCTAACATTGTGCACTTTTCTGCTGTTTAATCCCACTGTAATCAGGAGAAGTGATATTTAGACATTCTACCTTTGATTACCCATTAAAAATAAATTTAAATCAGATAAAACCAGATTACTTGATGTTGAACTGATCAGTACTCGTTATTTTCTGCACACAGCTGATTTCGGTCTGGCCCGGATGTACGGCATTCCTCAGCAACCCATGACACCACGAGTAGTTACGCTGTGGTGAGTGTTTACCCAGTTAGTCTAACTCATTTGAGGTATTCTGTGTGGGTGTTGTGCCCTGCATATAACCCTTGTGTTGCTGTGCTGGTGCAGCCTCAGTGGAAACTCCCTTGTAATCCCCTCACAATAATCCTCCCTTATTAGCTCCATTACCTCGGGCCGCTATCCTAATATGCTCTCCTTCGTGCAGGTATAGAGCACCAGAGCTCCTCCTAGGGACGAAGACTCAGACTACGGCTCTGGACATGTGGTGAGGAAATACATGTGAAATCTATACGCTTAGGATCAGTATACTGCACAAGGAAGCATCTAATAACCAGCTTTTAACCACTCTACCTACACTGCGTTCTTATCATAATCTCTTTAGGAAACTTTAATTATAGGATAGTAATTACAGCTGTACTATCAAAGCACTCACTTTATGGAGGCTGTGCTTATTTTTGTTGAAGCTTTGTTTACCCTCATACTAAAAAACGTGGTCTGCCAGTAGATGAAACAAAATTAAACAAAATATGATATGTATAATTGTCCTAAGTTAATAAATTCTGTGCCAAAGGGAAAAGGCCTCATATCCCATGAGGATCCGTCAGGAAATTAAAGCCAGACGTGGTGTTTCCTTTACAGGGCAGTGGGCTGTATCCTGGCTGAGCTGCTTGCCCACAAACCTCTGCTGCCTGGAACCTCTGAGATCCAGCAGGTCGACCTGATTGTTCAGCTGCTGGGAACACCCAATGAAAACATCTGGCCGGTAAGACTCAGCTTTCACACTGTCTGATGTTAAACTATTGAATTGGATGCATTTAGCTTTTATTGCTAAAGCAGTCTTAAACTGATATATTTCTACTTTTTTGTATGCCATCAACAAGTTCAGCAACATTAAACCCATTAAGGGAAAACAAGGTAAAAGCAGCCGATGATTGGCACAACTCAAAGGCCTTACTGTCTCAGTGTCTGGTTCTTGGTAAAATCACTCAGGTCTTTCCTTCTTCTGCCTCCAACTACAAGAACTGACTTTCCATCTGATACTCTAATATCTAGACATGTGACATTGATACAAATCCTCAGTTATTCGTTTAGTCTAAAATAGGTTGCAGTCTGCACAAAGCTGAGAAATGAGATCTGTTGTGTGTGTTACAGGGTTTCTCTCAGCTTCCCCTCATCGGTCAGTACAGCCTGAGGAAGCAGCCATACAACAACCTGAAGAACAAATTCACCTGGCTGTCTGATGCTGGACACAGACTGCTTAACCTGCTCTTCATGTACAACCCCCAGCGCAGGTACATTTAGCTCTACTGGTTTCTGGCTGGAATCTAGACTACAGCTCTGATAAAGCTAAGCTTTTTTTGTGGGAAAAATGAAGGAGTCGCATGAATTTGCATACGAGGCATCACTAACTTCTTGTATTTTTCCTGATTCTCAGAGCTACTGCTAAAGATTGCTTGGAGAGTTCATACTTCAAAGAGAAACCTCTACGTGAGTATAAAGATTGCGAATATGCACAAGCTGACGTCTGTCTGTCCTCCGACCTGCTGTGAGTCATTCTGTGTGCCTCTGTGCTTCTCTTTCCAGCCTGCGAACCAGAGCTGATGCCAACATTCCCTCACCATCGCAACAAGCGAGCGGCTCCTCCAGCAGAGAGCCACTCGAAGAGGAGCAAAGTGTGAAGAAACACTGAACTTACAAGCACATCTCTGGTGGGAAAATGGCCACACTCATGAAGAGCTTTTACTGTGGAGCTTTGAGCTAGTCCAAACCAGAATCAGCTTCAGCACAGCTGTAGTGAAACAAAGTCAGACAAACTTACTGCTGGACTGTTAAAAACAGGAACACAGAGTCTACAGCAAGCAGTCAAGAAAAGGCTGGAAGTACAACCTGCTGTGTGGATCCAACGGTGTGGTCTGAGAGCACAGCACATTCATCAAAGAAAGAGAAACGGCCCCATTTTAGATTTTGTGTCTGAGTTATCATTTCCAACGGCAAGTAAGATGCTACAGAGAAGAGACTTCATAATCGCAAATTCTAGAGTAGCTTTGCATGGTTCACAGTTCAAAATCATCCTTGTGTATCCTCTCAGTTCATCCTCTATCAGAAACAAGCTGTTTTAATTCCTCTGCCTTTTAACTCTTTCACCTGTAAAAACATTTGACAACCTTCTCTGTACCGTTAATGACACCTCAATATATATAATATGTGGTGTGAGTAGCCTTAGTAAGCTATATAGGTGGCGGTCAACCTCATTAACTTCTGATTCACACACAGCCCTTAAAATATGACAGAAAGCACTGAGTTCAAAAAAGAAAAAACAAGTGTTTACCCATAGTAGGCATCCAAGGAGGAAAGAGTTAAGGCAGCTGTCCTCTGATTGGCCTTTCCTTCATTAACAGACGGCCTGAAAAGCCGGCTGTGCCTTAGACTAACATATAGGGGATATTCCCTCTCTGACATCATAAATATCCCTGTTGAGAGCAGCTTGAAGCCTGAGCTTTTGACATATTCTTATTGAAAACTTTGACAATGTTTAATTTGAATCTAATAAAGTTTAATAAATGTCTGGAACAGGAACAGTGTATAAAAATATAAAAATAAGACAGAATAGCCATTTAATCCATTCTGATCTCATGAATATGTGAACACTATCTAAAAATGACAAAATAATCCATACAGCATTAGCCACTATTTTATATATGCTCACAGACAGCAATGGTCCTGTGATGGACAAAAGCTGTCTTGTTATAATAAAGTCCTTTTGCTCACTGACATCAATAATATCCCTCACTCTATCAAACCAAGGAGATAAAAGCTGGATGTTGTGACTGTGTAACACTTTGTCTTCTCAGATAGTGGTGACCTTTTCTTGTAATTATGAGGCCTCGCTTTCCTATTTTTGCCAGCAGTGAATGTAGTGCTATAGTGTACACCCTGACACATTACACATCAGTCTGTGGATGTGCTGTTATAATTATCTCTGCATCTCTGTGACCAGGAGCTTTGGGGTCTTTGCTTGAGTGCTGTCTACAGCTTTATAGCCTCCATGTTATTCTTGTTGATGAATTTAGGATTAATTTAAGAATATCTGCCTTTAAAGTCTTTGATGCACAATAAAGAAGATCTCAGGTTTGATCCTCACAGCTGGAAGACAGTGTGTCCTGTCCAAGTGTCCTTGAGTAAAATACTGAATGCTTGATTTTGCTTGATAGACATTAAGGAGCTCTGTGTTAGCATGCAGCACGGGCCAGCAGGGCCAAAACTGTGGTATGATGTAGCAGCTGTACCGCTTGTCTTAGTATGTGCAATAAGCAAAGTTTACCCCATACTTGGTGCCATTTTACATTATACATCAATCACTTAAGCTGTGGAATAAATTGTAAAGCTAGTCAAATAGCTTTTCTACTTATATGAATTATAGTTGGACTATACTGACAAGGAAGATATGGTTAGCTAGCTAGCTGTAATTTAGCTGTGATACAGGACTCTGGTGATGGTTGGTTGGTAATAGTGGCTGATGAAGTAAAAAAAAATAAGCAAAAAGAAAATGGACTGCTAAGTTACCTGATCAGCCCTGAGTCACACCAAGGAAAACAGTGGGCTGGAGACCACCGCACAGCCGTACACAGTGAACTTGCAACTATTTCAAAAGTTGCTTCAAAGATGGCGACCGAGATGGTAACCACTCGCAGTCAACCGCGTCTTCAAAGCGACTTCATACGTCAAGATGGCAATAAAACATCAATAATAAACTGCAGCAAACTGGTGAAAATGGTGAATCATCTACTTAAACATTGCATAGGTTGCCTCCCACAAGGCAATCCATGCAAGCACTGCAATCGAAAGTGGTTATCCAGAGCTTCCTGGTCTTCTGAAAACGTTCTGCACTATTTTTAATCTAGTGTGACTGAGCCATTAAGACAGTGTTTTGCTTCATGAAATTTGTCAGTGCATATGATGTTTGTTGTATGGAGCTGATTAGGACTGGACTTCATTTCCAAGCTACTTTTAGCTAATGAGGTGGTTGCTCTAGGTCAGGGGTGTCGAACTCCAGGCCTCTTGCAGGTTTTATATGTCACCCTGGGTCAACACACCTGAATCACATGATTAGTTCATTACCAGGCTTCTGGAAAACTTCAACACATGTTAAGGAAGTAATTTGGCCATTTAAATCAGCTGTGTTGTGTCAAGGACACATCTAAAACCTGCAGGACACCGGCTCTCGAGGCCTGGAGTTCGACACCTGTGCTCTAGGTCTTTCCAGTCTTGTGATTATAGCTTGACATTTGCTGTATAGATATGAGATTGATGTAAATGTAAAAGGAAGGAGTTTTTATCAGAATCTTGAAGATTTTCCTTAGAAGGAACAGCTCAAATGACTGCAGTAAATGAACAGTGGCCTCAAAGTTGACTCTGTGTAAATTTAAATAAAATCACAAAACTGACTGCTCCACTTCTGGTATGTTTTTGTTTCATCATGCTGCAAATTCTTTGAAATGTGTGACAGGATGGGGCTGCGGGCAGATCCGTTAAGAACCTGTTTGCAACTCCTTCCAGCAGTCTAACCCATGTCACAAAGCTCAGATCACTTCAAACTGGTTCAATCAACATGAGTTCACTCAAATGCCCTCCAAAGTCACAAGATCTCAATTCAATACAGCAAACAGGAGATTTGCATCATGAACGCAGTGTGATGCCGTCATTTCAATGTGGGCCTAAACCTCTGAAGAAAGCAAAAGGTGATCCAACCCAGTACACGGAGAGTGTACCTAATAAAGTGTCTGGTGAGTGTATATTGTTGAACATTTTGTTTGCGTAATCTTTTAATTGTGGTGAACTCCTCTCAGGCTTCACTTTGACAGATTGTTTCTAAATATTTGAGATCTCAGGTTTTGTGGAAACTCTTCTTGGTGTGCACTTAACTGTGTGATGGTGGTGGAAGTGTTCAATTCCAAATACGTGAAATGCACAAGCATAATAAAACATGTCAAAGCAGCAGTAGTGTCTTTTTTTCCATTTGAAATTTCAGTTTTTATTTATTCAGGTTAAATTAGTAGTAATGTTAACATGGCCAGCGTCAGGTTAAATCCCCGTACAGGGACGTTAATAACTGAGCTCCCCTGAACAACAGGTACCTCCACAAACACGCAGCGATTCTACTGTAGCTTCCAGAAGTCCATCAGTGAGTCCACCAGGCACGCCTGCAATCCTGCCATAACAGCAGGAGGTCAGAGTCTGTGCAGGACAGCTTTCCTTAAACTCCCTGCTGAAATTAGGACAACAGCAATGAAACGTTCAGCAGCATCGCCCCTGGAGGAGCACTCTGTACATTTGCCTCCAATAAAGGGGGGGGTGGTCAGGAGGCCTCTCACTGGTGCTCCATCATGAATCACAGAAAATTAATACATAAAGAATAAACATACTGTAGCTGTACTAGTTACACATCACACGTGACCAGTAATTTATATAAATAATGTTCCATAACACTGATTGACCATGAATGCAGGGCAACACAAAGATGTGCTTGACTGATTCTTAATCCACTAACGTGTGAATATTAGTGGATTAATTGCAGTCGGCGTTAATTAGCTTGTGCTGTTAAACCAAGTGAGGGAGGTTAGTTTCCTTAAAGTGCCACAGACCCGATGTCCTCAATTTTCATGTTTAATGAGACATTGTTTATTTTCCACTGCAGTTTGTGGCATATTTCTCCCACTCATGTATCGGCTCAGTTTGAATATTTTCAATGAAGAGTGGAAAACACCCAGAACACGAACTCAAACATCAAAAACAGAACATCCATAAAAGAAGGACTTCGCAGTTTAAATAAGACTAGGTGTATTCTAGGAAAAGTAGTGAAAAGACCAAAAGGACGCTTTCTTCCACACGTAACGGCCTCCTAAACATGAAGTGAAAGTGTGACTGTTTGCCCCACGGTAGCTGTTTTAGTTTGAAAACTCCAGAACAAGCCTCACTGACCACAGCCAAAAAAAAAAGGAAGCCAATGGCAAAGATCCAAAAACTGCATTACTAATGGCCACTTGAGCCACGCTCTAAATGCACCGCCAGTATGGCCAGTTACAGAAAACAAGCTTTGGTTTCTATAGCAGGTGAAATTTTTTTTATTCACCTGATTGGATTTTAACTTATGGGTGCTGCAGCTGTGTCTTCAAAAACACCACAAACTTTTAGCAGCTAATACTCGGGCTTCAATATGTGAAGACTAAAGCCAATGAATGACATCACCGTGGCCATGTCCATCATTTATGTACAGCCAATGCTCCAGAAAAGCTACCAATCCCACCAACTGCTGCTTCAAAACAGGAAGTGTTGATGCATCATCTATCAGTTTATTCGCTTCGAAAAGAAAAAATAAGGAAAAAAAATAGAGCCATTCATCAGCAGTTGGGCTTTCTTAAAAATCTATTTTTTTTAAAGTATTCATTGCTTTTTTGTTCATGTTGATTAAATGCTGTGTTAACAAATGGCTTTTCAATGACAATCATCCATCTCCCAGAGTGTACATCCTTTTCAAAATAAAAGACATTCAAGTTACAGAAGACAGAGAAAAGCAGGAAATACTGATTTTTTTCCCCATCTCATTTAAATTATCACTCTTAGTATTTTCAGATTGAGGAACTGCTGCACTTGGCTCCCAGTCAAGCACATCTCTGGTAATGTAAATGCTTCACTCAGACTGTTGCGAGCACGGAGCTACAGGCCTCAACCAGACACGCTCACTTGGTTTAACTGCCTTAAATAATCAAAATAACATTTAAACAGAAACAAGTTTAATAAAAACACTTAAATGCATTCACACTTCCGCATGCCTGGCAGAACAACTAACGTCTTCTTTTCGCTTCTTCTTCACTGTCCTTCATGGCGATACCAAAGGGAGTTGCATGACGGCAGCAGAATGTACGGCCCTTCGGTCGGAGACGAGACAGGCTCACAGTGGGACAAACTTTATGCATTTCCTCACATTAAATGCGGCGCAGATGAACAGTTCTTGTAGTGAATATGCTGTAACGGAGCACAGTCTGTAAAGGGTGGGGAAAAACGCAGAGGCGACAGGGGAGGAAGTCTACAGTCCAGCTACCAAATCACACTGAGATTTTCTACTTCTGCATTTGGTCAATGTCCTCCAGGGATTCAAACATCCGGGCCTGGACGAGACACGAAGATGCAGACTGGCGCCATGTTATAAATCCAGGAGAGGCAGTGAACCAAGTGCTCAGCTGAAGATGAAAGCCTACAGGATGGTGCAGAGGAGAGGGGTGGAGTGTTGGTACTGGGAGCAGTCTGACCCTTCTGCTGGACTTGGAGATGGAGCGGGAGACGTGGGGCTCTGTCTCTCAGCCCTCCATCCCAAAGTCCTCTGTGAACTTCTTGACTTTGAGAAGGTCTTCGGTGTTAACTGTGGGGCGGGTGGTGGACAGAGAGCGCAGCATGTCCGACTGCAAAGTAGGGACGGACACACACACACACACACACACACACACACACACACAC